TTAAATAATTGACATCACATGTACTAAACAAATCAGTATTGTTTATCTTCCAAATCAGAACAGAACAACAGACACATATATATACATGCCTCAAATGCAATGAATATTTGTATAAACGATACTCTGAGATTCACTTCTCTACAATTAAGCCAGTTGTTGAAATTTTTCCTATTGGGTTTTTATTTTGATATACTAGGTAGATAAATGCAGAAGTAGGAACTAATTTAGTTAGTATTTAATATATAATTTTAAACTCTGGCACAAGTTATAGTGCAGTTAAGACTCTCGCACTTAATAGTAGTTCATTAATTTGTATAGTTAGAAGTTTTTGTCTGATTAGTAGGTTTTCTTTTTTCTAGCAATAGTTTCTTTTAGGTTTTAGTTTAGTTTTTTTTTATTCCTTAATATTAGTATCCATTTTCTTTAATGTATTAGGTTTATTTTTTACCCTTTTTTTTGTTTTTTACTATTCTTCTTTTTTTTTTTTCTTCTTTATAAGAAAGTGTCATCAGATTGACGATATTCTATTATAAAGCAGGAATTTTGATGAGACAGTGCAACAGCCAGTTGATGAATCTGAAGGAAATAAGTCTAAAATAAATTCTAAATTTCTGAAAAAGGCCAATTGTTCACTAGGCAGGTCACATCTGGGTAAAATACAGCAGTTTAATAGTTTAGCTTGACTGCAAGTAAGTGTTATGACACTTGTGAGATAAAGTCTTATATGAGTTTATCTTTTGGTCAAAACACTATAGATTTAGATTTCTTTATATATAAGAATGAAAGCCTGTTTCTATAATAAAATAAACAAGATTGCTGAAGAAAAAAAAAAAACTATTTGTATTTACTTGAATTTATCTAAAGATAATTTAAACTATTTGGCAGAAAGAGACAAAACCAGGGTTTATATATTTTTTTCTAACTAATAAAAATAATAAGTAACAATAAAAATAGTAAAAATAGTAGAAATAGTAGAAATAGTAAAAATAGTAGAAATAATAGAAATAGTAGAAATAGTAGAAACAGTAACTATTTATCTGCTAGTCTGTTAATCTATTATTTTATTAATTTACTAATTTGTTAATCTGTTAATCTATTAATTTGTTAATCTGCTATTTTTGTTAATCTTTTAATTAGTGATTTGCTAGTTAATCAAAGAAGATCTGCAAATTTTTATAAATAAATTTTACTATAGACCTAAATGTGAAGCATTCATATCTAAAACTTTTTTTCTTACTAAATAATTACTTTTGGGCTTTTAATAAAAGTTGTAGAGCTCATCAAGACATATCTAATAATAGTAAAAATATTAAAATCAGCTTGGTGATTCTTAAAAAAATCTTTTAAAAACATTTTGCTAATATATAAAATTTCTTTAAAAAAAATCAATTTTTTTTTAATTGCTGATTCTCCAGTTACCTAGTTCAAAAATTTTTTTTATATAAATTTTACTATAAGTACGAATGTGCAGCACCCCTATCTAAAATCTTTTTTTATTAAGTAAATCACTCTTTGGCTTGTAACAAAAGTTGTAGAGCTCATCAAAATGCATTTAATAGTAAAAGAATATTAAAATTGGCTTGGTGGTTCTTGAGAAATTTTTAAAAACTTCTTTTTACATATAAAATTTCTTTAAAAAAAAAGAAGTTTTTTAAAGTTTTCTCAAGAACCACTAGGCTAATTTTAATATTTTTTTACTATTAAATGCATTTTGATGAGCTTTACAACTTTTGTTACAAATCCAAGAGTGATTTACTTAATAAAAAAAAGGTTTAGATAAGAGTGCTGCACATTCATATTTATAGTGAAATTTATATATAAAAAAAAAATTTTTGAACCAGATAACTAGAGAATCACCTATTAAAGAAATTTTATATATTGATTAAATGTATTTAAAGATTTTTTAAGAACCATTAGACCAATTTTAATGTTTTTGCTACCATTAGATACATCTTGATGAGCACTGCAACTTTTATTAAAAGCTTAAGAATAATTTATTTAGTAAGAAAAAAGTTTTAGATAGAAGTGCTCCATATTCAGACCAATAGTAAAATTTATTTATAAAAATTTGCAAATCACTAATTAATATGTTAATCTGCTAATCTGTTAATTTGCTAATATGCTAATCTACTAATTTGCTAATCTATTAATTAATTTGTTAATCCATTAATTAATTTATTAATCTGTTACTACTTAATATAATACTGTAATACAATACTATAATATAAAATAATATACTATAATAATAATACAATAATAATATAACAATAATAATAATAATAATGGTAATAATAAAACTAATACTAAAACTTGTTCTACTATATAATAGTGATTAATAATAAAATTGAGAAAAATCATAATTATGATATTGAGCAATTTTTTTATAATTTTTACTGTTTGTTTATATGAAATAGTAAGACATTTATCTAAAATAAATAATATAAAACTGTCTGTTAATTGACATTTATCTATTATCTATTTTGGGGTTATTTAAAACAAAGCAGAATCATGTGATATTTGACTAATCAAATTATAGAATTTTGATAATCACCAATAAAGCAAAACAAGAAATAAAAATGAAAAACCTGAAAAATACAAAAAACAGCAGTCTAAACCTGCCTCAGATAGGTTAATTAAAAATGTTAGGAAGGCAATTTTGCTTATATATAACTACCTAAAATCTAGCCTAACCCCAATATAAGATGACCCTAACCTTAATATTAATTCAATAAAATATATATTACAGTATAAGAATCTGCTCTGATTTAAACATCCCCCTATTTTGAATAAATGATATACAGTATATTACTTGCTATTTTATATAAACAAACAGCAAAAATTGTAAAAAAATTGCACAACTTTGTAATCATAATTCTTCACAATTCACCTTTAAAATTTTATAAAAAAACCTTCAAATGCTAGAGAATTTGCAAAATAGTATCAAGAAAATAAATAAACAACTTTTTTGTTGTTAAATAAGTCTAAAAAGCAAAATTTGCCTAAATTTCACATATGAAATTTAGGTGCTCCAGTTATTTGACTCTATATTAAAAATTTTGCATACATGATCTGCATGACAAATTGTATGACTGGTAATAAGGTTTGATGATCTAGCATTAGTGAAAGTTGTTTTACAACAACAAATAAAAATTTTTTTTCCTGCAAATCTTAAATTTTATTGAATGAAAAATAGAATTGCAGAATTTATTATGGTTTGATTAAATGTTAAAATATGATGTATTTGTTTTACGTTCATATCAAAGTATTAATTATTTATTGTTATGGATTATTATAAAATTGGATTATTGTGAAATTTGGATCTATTTATGTATGTACGATTTTTAAAAATTTTTAGGGCCTTTTTTGTAGGCTTTTTTTTTTATAGTTAAGTTAGGATTTAGGGTTAGAATTATTAATAAAAGAATATAGGTGGGCTAATTGAGACCTCAAATTTCGCAATAATCCGATTTCACGATAATCCGTAACATTTATTTTAAAAGCTTCGAGAATTAAAAATAAAGTGGTTATTTTTTCATATCGGTTAGAAGTTTGTTAGAATTCATTGTTTATTATGTTTGATATGTAAAAAATTAAAAGTAATGCTTAAGCGACCTTCATCAATAGTAAATTTTTGATGGTTTGTAGCTGTTTATCACAATGGCAGCCCACTTGATTAATTTATTCAATTTCCGACTATTAAAAATTTGCCTCCGATCCATTGAGTGAGGTGCTTGAGAACACCCTAATTTCGCCAAGACAAAAAAGGATTTTGATCATTATCAATAGCGAAGTCCTACAACATTAATAATACCTCCCATGTACTTTTTTTTTTTCATTTATTCTTTGTAGTTTTATTTTTTTGAAAAGTACTTTAAACTGTATCAAAATAATGTAAAATTAAATTGACTTAAGTTGTTCTCAAGTACCTCCCTCTATGATCGATAAAGTGATCCGATTAGCTGAAAAAATAAATCGTGTTTAATCATTTCGGTCAAAAAAACCTGGAGCTAACGGCCATCTTTTTTTTTCATAGAATTACTCTAATTGGCTGAAATTTAAAATCCGCGTTTCGCACAATGAATTTTCGGCAAAATTGTTACAGGGATCACTTCAATTAATTTCGATTAATCGAAATGATTGAGGGAGCTGTTTGAGAACAACCTTAAACAACCAATCATATCGATATGAAAGTCGTCTATGGCCGAATTGAAATCATTATAAACTCCAATTCTAACCCTAAAGTCTTAATTCTGCCAAGACAATTCACAAGATTCTCATCCAGGGCAGCCCGATTCTGGATCTGGGTACGACATAGAGTGAAAATAAAACCGATTCCAAACTCTAGTACAACATATATATCAGATATGGAGATCTGCTGATCAACGCGTGTGAAAATCAAAAATCATACGTGGAAATTAGTCTAACGTCCGGGCCTAAATTAATTATTTTTGGCCAGATTTGACATCTGCACAATAGATTATTGAGCATAACAATAAATAAATACTGGAATATATTCGGATTATAAACGTCACCTGATTTAAATCTTTTTTTGCCGTCCCTAAACACTAGATCAAAAGTATCGAACCGACTGCGTGGGCAATTAAGACGAATTAACGATGAGTGGACCGAGAGGCTCTAACGTTGTGTTTGGTAGTTTACAGTTCCTTTTATAAACATTCAATGAACAAATACATTTCTTATTGTTCGTTATTACAGTTGGAAATATACCGTACGAACTTACCGAAGAACAGTTAACCGAGGTATTCAAGGAAGTCGGACCAGTTGTATCTTTTCGGTTTGTGATTTTCTAACGATCCGTTGAAATTGGAATACCTCAATTAAAAAACTGATCATTTCTTTTGTAAAGCCTTGTATTTGATCGAGACAGCGGAAGGCCCAGAGGATATGGTTTTTGCGAATATCATGGTACACGCGTTCATATTTTAGCTTTTTATTTATGTTTTTTCATCCTGTTCCTTACATTTCAAATCAACTTTAAGATGCCGAAACAGCAGCAAGCGCGGTACGCAATCTCAATAATGTAGAGGTTGGTGGAAGACAACTAAGGGTCGATTATGCTGATGGGGACCCTGCAAATGCCCCTTCAATTCCACCATCTGAAAGATCAAATGTAGAAAGGCCGCCACCACCTTCTCAGCCACCACCACAATCAATTGTTCCGCAAAATACACCACAACAATCTGCAATCGAAAGTATATCGCAAACAGTCCAACACTCAATGACTCAAGCTCAACTTCTTGAAATTTTGTCAACGATGAAGGTATTGGTTATTGTTTTTCTTGACGAGTTGAACGTGATATTAATACATATGTCTTAATTATTTGGTTGATCTCATCAAAAGTTGCTCATCCAAACACATCAAGATCAAGCTCGATTACTATTAGCCCAGAATCCACAACTCTCATATGCATTGTTTCAAGCAATGCTACAACAGAATTTAGTCGATCCAGCAATATTACCGGTTCATAATCTAGAATTTGCTGTGCTTTTTTAGTCATGAAATTTAAAATTTCTAACTTAGAATTCGTAACAAATAAATCCATAGCGTGTACTACTGCATAACAATCCACAAGCACAATCTCAACCTAATCCTGTACAAAATCCTCCTTCACTCGTGCCTCCGCCAAATTATGTTCCACCTAATGTGCCCAATGCTGCCGCAGTGCCACCACAACTTCAGCCGGCTATGTATTCTACGATCCCTCAACAACCTCAACCAATGATTCAACAACCTATAGCACAAACTATGCAGCAACCTATGACACAGACCATGCAACAGCCGATAACGCAAACTATGCAACAACCAATGCAACCGCCGATGGGAATGCCAGTGATGAATGCCGGAATGATGCCTGTTATAGGGAATGTTGGTGTTACCCCAGCTACGTCATCTGTAGCTGGAATGGTTGGAAATATTAGTTTAAGTAATATAGTGAATTATATAGTGAATTAGTTGTTAAAATTTTTATGTAAAATATCATTAAATTCCGTCATTAAATTGTCTTTATATCTTTTTAGATGATTTGCAAATTCAAGAAGCTCAAAAGTCGGTCTGTATTAAACGAAGAATGTTTAATGGTTTAATTAATAATACATACATTGCTAAATATATCAATTTATTATTTAGCAACTTTTACTTCAAGTTCTTAATCTTCCACAACAACAAATTGATATGTTGCCACCCGACCAACGTAACAATATTTTAGCTTTGGTGGGTGTTGATTCACAAATTGGTTTATCTGTTATTTAAAAATTTTTCATAACCTTATTATTTGTCTTCGCATAGAAACAACAACTTTTACTCCAAACTAGGCAGACGTAAGTGGAATAATGGGTAGTGAGGATTAGCATTGCAACAGATAATAGATCTTGTAATTTTTGATATTTTGTAATTTTATACAATAATTTATTTATTTATTTAACAAGGTTTGCTAATTATTGGTTATTCACCTGAAAGTTGGTGTCGAGATTTATTAAGTTCCTTTATTGTATAATGGTGTATGTCAGTTAAGCATCAAAGTTCTCGAGATCAACAAAGATAACTAATTGATTCAAGAAGTGTCATGCATAAATAACCACAAATGTTACAATTCAAGTTCCGTCGGCTCGACAAAGATAGTAATGTATATAATTTGCAATGAAATTCGTTTTTTTTAAAGGTAATTGTTATACATGGAATTTTGATAAATGACGAATATAATGATAATATAATATCACACGATGATTTGCTGGTTTTATAAATTTTCACGTATGCCTAATATAAAATATATTGTATTCGTCTTTTTTTTTTCCTTCTCTTGACAAATGCTGTGTACACGCTTGTACATGCTTGAACGATACTTCAATGTGACGGTTTTCAAAATACTTTTAATAAATGTTGCGGATCATAATGAAATCGGATTAAAATGAAATGAGAGGTTTCTATTTGCTCCCTAAAACCCACTTATACTTGTTTATTATAAAACCTGCCCCTAAACTCTAATCCTAACCTTAAAAACAATGCTAAAAAAAAATGCTAAAAAAATGCTAAAAAAAAATGCTAAAAAAATGCTAAAAAAAATGCTAAAAAAAAATGCTAAAAAAATGCTAAAAAAAATGCTAAAAAAAAATGCTAAAAAAAATGCTAAAAAAAATGCTAAAAAAAATGCTAAAAAAAGTGTACTCCAAAAATTTGTATTTTTCGGTGGCTTGTCTATTTTACATTATCTCTTATATATTTCATTTTAATCTGATTTCATTTTAATCCGTCACAATAAATAAAGAACAACCGTACAAAAAGAATGTGTACAGTACCGGACAACAAAGACATCTATGTTTTATAGTGAGATTACGGCACTTTAGAGTAATTGAGATATAATTTGTTCATTATTATTGTTTAGTTACACATTGTATGAACGTCTAACCTATCTTTATGTGAGATGATGAGTTAAATATTTGGCTGAAGCTGAAAATTTTACTGAAAATTTGACCTATTTTATTGTAGGGTTAGGGGTCAGCTTTATAATAAACAAGTATAAATAAGTAGGTTTTAGTAGGTTTTATGGATCTAAATTGAAACCCCAAAATTTTCAGCTTCAGCATCATCCCAACATTAATAATTCGATCTGTAATAATAAATAAGCACTTTAGATCTCGGGTTAGCATCTAAATTAAGCTAACGCACGATAATGTAATTTAAAAACAAATAATTTTATGTTAATAGATTTGTTGAGTTACAATTCCGTTAATAGGGTGTGAAATGTGCCGGGTTGGGCGGGCTTGAAAAAATGTTTATAAACCCAAGCCCAGCCCAATAAAAAAAAAACCCCAATATAGCCTAACATATCTTGAATTTTAGCAAATCGGCCAATCAGGTTGAAAAAAAAAGGTATAGGATTCATAGGATTCACAGAATTCAAAAAATGTATTATAATTCGTCCGTTAAATTTATAGAAAGTTAAGCTAACCGAGCTTTTAAAAGAAGTATTGTAAGCCATATGAACAAAATTATTTATTAATTGGTATTTAAACGGCCGCTCTTGTTCAACAAATTATATAAAATTTATAAAACTTTAGATATTTTCAATAATACCGGCATATTTCAACTTAAACAATGCTACAGTTGTATACAAATTCGTTAATTGCTGTAAAATTTAATTTTCCCTTTTAAATTTCTAACATATTTATGTAGCCCAGTTCATCCCTTGTAAATTTTGACCAGTCAAAATTTAGGGTCAGGTGTGATAGATCAAATGTGTTTTTTCGGTTGCATGCAAAATTAAGAAAACCGCGTTATAGTTAAGATAATACGACATCTGTAAGTAAATTTCACAAGGAACATTTTTAATTAGACCTCAGAAGGCGGCTTCCTGGTTAAAATTTAAAGCTATTCTTGTTTTTTTTTGTAAAAAAACGGTATCAAGCTAATTAGCATGTGATAAGAGATGGTAAGACGTAACATTTAGTATGCAGTTTTATGTAATATATACATACGTAAGCTATTACGTTCGTACGAAGTTTGTTAGTTACTTTATTATCGTATATATTAAAGAGCATTATATCCATGTTCAACCAGAGCTCAAAATCTACTGTAAAATACCGGAGATTCCGGTAAATTAAGAAAAATTCCGGCGCAGTTTTTTGATATTCGGAAATTTTCCGTTTGTTCAAAAACACTTCCTTACATCATAACTGATTGTAACTATAGTTACTACCTCCAGCTATAGATCCTAAATTCCGTTTAATAAAAAGATCACCGGAAAAATATCAGAACACGTCATGCCACAATTTTGTGCCCTGTGTTCAACTGATAAAATGTTATTTCTCATGAACCTTTAATATTGTGATACACTGCAATCGTAATGTTTGGCGAAATGCTTATTAGAATTATAAAGTTTTTAGAATTTTACAAACTTAATGGATTTTATTCAGAACTGGCACTAAGAATATACTTTTCGTCTAAAAAAACATTTGTGACATGTCTTTTAATAAGTAAAAATCAATATTTTCATGTATCTATTATTACCGTACTCGGAAACGATTTGAGAGCTAAAATCTCTTCTACGTCTGAAGATCGGCGAGGCACCCGAGTACATATATAGGATAACTTTCTTCTGATTGGTCAATCGCTTTCAATTGTATTTATACAGTTTAAAGTACTTTTTAAGAAT